TGATTCTACAGTTGGAGAATCATCTCCCCAAATCCGGCTTCCATCAAAAGATAGAATTGAAGAGAACTTTGAGTCTCTTAATTTGAACACTAGCCAAGTTTTGGCTGAAGGTGAATCCCAGCAAGGACCAATTCTGCAGATGATGTGTGCAGAGTATCAAGCAGAAGATTGGATTGAAGGAACTCATAATATAGAATATCAATTCATTCCAAGTTCTAATGGGATGTCTCCTGTTCATCAAAACAACCAACGAGAAAACCCAGAATCAAAAAACCTCTCATCATTAAGAAATGGCTCAGGTGAGGAGATTTATGTCTCACTGCAGTTAGGTGAGCCTGAGGCAAAGAGAAGAAAGCAGTCAGATTCTTTGTTTAGTATTGAAGCTTCAAAATGAAAGAAGGGAATTTTTTCAAATTGTTTGGAGGCATTGTCTCATGAAGTTGTGCTTGCACCTGCAGTTACCTCTCGATTTTATGTTCAAATTTTCGGCCTTCTAATTATGCATCCTAAGTATATTAAAATGGCAAAAGAAGTTCTTAAGGTTCATGCCTCTCACCTGGATGAGTCATTGATTTTGTTTTTCTCCACATCCTTCGCTCAAGTTGCCACTGTGAGTTAGATATATTATGAGTCATACTGTTTTTAGTAGAAAAATAAAGACTTTGTATTTATGAAATGCTTCGATTGTACCATATAAGCATTTCCAAAGTGACAGCATGAACAGCTATCCAAAATTATAAAAGGAAAAAGCATGTTCATATACAGCTTCATAAGGGGGTCTCCTTTTAAATGTATTCTGCAGTCTGAGTTAAATGAAGGCACTTCGTTTTTTTCTGACATTATTGCTTGCAATGGAATAAACTTCTTTATCTGTTGTTCTTGGGGTTCTCAAATCTGTTGAAGAGTTGGTTTAGTTTGGAATACTTTCTCCCTTTTAAAAGGCATGAGAGGTCTAAGGTTTAAATCTTGGTCATCCTTGTTATTGATGCTGCCATTGTCATGCAACCTTTGGTTTTTTCACACAGAAGCTTTTGCGAAGATGGCAAGGGGATGGTCAGAGCTCTCTTGTTGAAACAGAAAAAGAGAAAAACAGATAAAAAAGGGGTTGTAGCCTAGGTGGTAATAAGATTTGTTTCCTACATTGTTTATCATAATTTGATTTTTCAGTGAATTCATCGGAGGAGATAATTACTTGTAATTTCTATAATAATGGCGTAAATGATTTATCTTTTGACTAGATTAAAGGGATAAACAGAGTATGTAGTGCGAAAGCTAGCATATGATACCACCTAACTATAACTAAAAACTTAACCAACGAGTGGTTGAATCAAGTGATAAGCGATTTGTTTCAGCTTAAGCAAGGTCTCGAGTTCAAGACCTTGTGAATGCAGCAGCCTTCGCTGGAAGACTCACCCACCATTTTTAGGTGCGCGACGCGGGTCGAGTCCTGATTAGTCGGGACGAAACCTCGGATACCGGGCGAGAAACCAAAAAAAAAAAAAACTTGAAAAAAAAAAAAGAATGTATGTTATGTTAGGCATTTGATTCTATCCACCCCAGTGATATGTTAATTAACAAGGAGAATTATTAGGGGGTGGGGGAACGTTTGTAACAGCGTTTGAATTCAGGACCTTACTGTTGTAACAACTTATCCTTATCTTCAGAGGGCTTATCCTCTGGGGTTACTAGGTGCTGGACTCCCACAGATTATATTTTGAAATGACTAGTTATGAAATCAGCTAAAAATGACAGGACTTAATTTTTTAGGGGGTGATAATTGAGGGAAGACAAATGAAAAACTTCCGTGTGCCTTAAGCCAAATGCTTATATCCACTGCTTGTCTCGTAATTATTTAGGATCCTTTTGGTAAGATGCTTCGGGGGTTGATTTGATTGCATGGTCGTCTCTCCGTGTGGTGGTTTGATATTGGACAATTCGATTTTGTTGATTGTGAAGGCTTCTACAAATAAATTGATAGGGAATTATGTTATCATGTCACTCTTAAATTTAAAATTTAAGAAATTTTAAATAAAAAATATTATATAATTTAGATTGTATAATTTAAATTATTAGATATAACTTGATATTTTTCTTCTATTTAATAATTTTTATTTTATGTTTTAATACAATTTAAAATGTGATATGAAACTTTTTTAAACACATTCTATATTTATCTTGTGAGTTTTTATAAAAATTGATAAGTTAAGTGTAGTACAATATAAAAAACTTTTTTGAATATATGATACACATATCTCGTAAGTCTTTATAGAAATTGATGAATTAGGTGTAGTACAAGATAAGAAATTCTTTTGAATATATTATACACTTATCTTGTGAGTCTTTTTAGAAATTAATAAGTTAGGTATAAGATGGACGACTTTCATTTACTTAGATTTAAGTTTTTTAAATAAATCCTATATGGTCAAAATTAACCCCTTTTTTTCTAAATACAGTAAATCTTACTTATGTTTGTCCTTTTGTTAGGGTGCACCCAACCTTCTCTCTTTCTTTCGTCTAACCCCATGTATGCGTATGATTTGAAGACAAAACCTTTAATTTTCACCACATTCCTCTAACTTGGCTTCATCTTGGATTTGCAAGAATTTGAAAAGGTGAGAGGGGCTTAGGGTAGAGATTTGGAAGAAAGGTCTCGATTCCCTTATGTGGATCGTTGTAAGGAAGGAGTGAGAAAAGCTTAATTATTTATATTAAAAGTTTTAAATTTAAATCTTAAAATAAATAAATAAGAATTTTAAATAAAAAATTCTCATATTATATGAATCATCATTAGTAGGAATGTTTTCTCTTTATGCCCTCTGCCATGCGATGAGTTGAGCAGGGGCAGGATGAATCCAAGATATGTCTCCAGTGGGGACAGACTTAAAATTTTGTTTCAATTTATTCAACGCTTAATATTGAGCCTTAGGATGGGCTCAAGACACAAACTCTGATAGGTTTGGATGGATCCAAAAGTTCTATGTATCTTGCTGAAGTTTCTTGTTAGCTAAAAGAAAATCAAAAAATGGTTTACTATTTTTACCCTAGAACCTAGATCCATCCCTTGTTGAGATTTAGAAGGATAATTGGATTTCGAGATGAGCAGTGACTATCTTCTATTTAAAAGAAAGGAGTCAAATCTCTCACTTTATACATGTAAAAGTAAATTGTTTAACATAATTTATCAGATGATGAAGAGACCGTTTGAATATATGTAAGTATATATTTTCTATTTGATAACTCATACTTTTGAAAATTAAGTCATGAAATTAAGATCAAATGATCAGCTACAAGACTTGTTTCATTTATTTGTAGGGCAACCCTTCGTACACGTAGCTATCAAAATGACTTAACATATATGGACAAGAAAACATACATCCAAGCACAAGGAATTTCGTTTTCCAAAGGTCTCTTCATCCAGCATGCATGATGAGGACCAGTGCTCTTGTGACCTTTCTTTCCTCTCCAATCCAATTCCTACAAATCAATTAGTCATACACATGGAATCATGTTTCCAAAAGTTAGACCAAAATATGGAGAAAAAGCAGCAGAAATTTAGTATCATTAGTCTCATCAAAGAGAGAAGATAAGAGAAAGATGTTTGGTTTTCCTCAACTTCCGCCATTCTTTTAAGCAAACATGGACTTGGAAGCACTTTTGTGAAAGCTTGGCTGCATGGAGAAAACACAGTAATTCCTACTAATTTTTGGATCACATGTACATTTAGAGGAAAATTATGGATATGCAACTAAGAAGAGGAGAAAAGCAAAAACAAGTCCTCATTTATATATCTGGCAAAAAATAATCAAGGGTTAGTTGCTAATTAATAAATTGCCTAAAAATGAATAGAAGAAAAGCAGAAGAAATTAATTAGAGCAACAAAAAATCTTTATCTTCTTTTGAGTCTGATTAAAAGAAAACAAAATCAACAACCATGCATATTGCAAGTTTGCAACCTACAAGGAAAAAGAGTCTCGAACCTTAAGATAGATCGTGAGAAATTTGAAAAGAGAAGAACTATATATCTCTTGTTACATATCTTAATATTGCAAATGAAACAAAATACTAAAGATATGGATATCGCAAGCTTACTTTGGAATTGAAAGTGTGAACGAGCAGCCCTAGCTTATATATATTACTAATTATACAAAGTGAAATTAGGCTGCACTCCTCAATTACAAATATGAGAGTTCATTCCAAGTTAAACAGAAATGGTGTTAAGAACTCTACTCAAAGGAAAATAAAGTGTGCTTATATACTATATTCTTAGATGAATTTCTTTTGTATAGCTAAATTGTGAAAAGAATGTGAAAAATACGCAATAATTCACACCTAAAAACTTGTTTTCTCTGTGAATAATGTTGCAAAATGAAAAAGCACTTGATGCCAAAGACAGGAATTAAATCATCAGTTAGTTCATGTTTCTGAAAGGAGTTCAACACACATAATATCCCATCAAATTCTCTCAACCGTTTGTCATTAAAGAGAGAGAAAGAAACATAAAAGGAAAAGACCAGAACAATTAGTCACAACAGCCACTTGAGTATCAAATATGTAGATGTATATCGATTCGCACGTCATGTTGAATGAAAAGAACATGTAAAAACAATTATCATGTCATGTTGTGAGGATTTATTGTTAACAAACGTTGTCGGTGAATCATTTTTGGTATATAAACTCAGTATACTATCTTAGTTTTAATTGGAAATGCAGTATATATGATTTAAGAAGATTACAAGTGAATTCACTAATGAATGGTATCACCACAATGAAATGAATAATATTGGTGGGTCATAATTCATCAACACCAAAACTGGTCCCCTAATACTATTTGGCTAATCAAGTAAAGATACAGAAAAACTCACTCTTCTTCTGTCTCCTAGTCAAATTCAATCTCAAAAAAGGCAGTTTTTTACACACAGAAGATACTAGATAAATATTCAAAATATATAATGAGATACCAGTATTATTTTTCTAACCTTTGCGTCTGTTTTTTGGTTTTGGGATTTGTTCTATGTTGATTCTGGCCTTAATGCTAGCTACCACTGAAGTCAAAAAAACATGAAGACACAAACAGGCACAGAAAGAGCAAAAAAAAGAGAGAAAGAATGGTAGGAAAACTGTTTTCTCCAGTTCTCCCTAGAATAATTAAATTTGATTCAGTCTAGCAGGGAGCAAGTAAAAATTCATTAAGAACAGATACGAAATTTGAGCAAAGTGAAAGATTTACCTGGAATTTCCAGTTTTCAGAGAGCAAACTTGAGGAATATACCATCTCTGAGTTCTTTATTTAATTTGTTGGGGAGTGAGTGATTGAAACTGCCAGATGACCTGATGCAACCGTATGTATCTAATAGAAGCCAATTAAGTTTCTAATTAGGCCTCTAAATCCACTACTAACTCAAAACCCCCCTTTAAAAAAATGGATAGGTAATCTGTGTTTCCAAAACCAATCTTGCCGAAGAAACTTAATTGTGAAACTTGTAAATGAATTAAGGTTTTTGATCCAAAACCAATAAAGTAAATCTAGAGATCATCGCGGTATATACCTACCTAGATATATAAAGAAGTACAAGAACATTTTTATAGGGAATGATAGGGTTCTTTACCAGATCATGCTGGCAGCTTCAACCTCTCAAACCAACACATGACCGACAAGGGAAACCAATAAAAAATGTCAAAACTAGCTAGGTTTTCGCCTTGAGGGAAATTGCTAAGCCCTGAGGAGGAACTAGCTAGGAGCTTCAAGAAAGAAAAGAGAATTGATGACAAAGGTACACAGGCGCAAACCATGCACGTTTTAGTTTAGGCAATCCTTGTGACTCTCCCTCTCCTTCATATAAATGCACCTCTCCTCTTCCTCCTCCTCTTTCCCCCTCCTTTTTTGTATATTGTACTGTGTCATAGGGAGAACTGGAGGAGTATATATTTAATGGTGGGTTTTTTAGCCTTTACTCCTTCCCTTACAGCTATTGATATTGACTTTTTTTCTCTATTTCTTTCTCTCTTCAAGGTTTTTTTTTTTTGCCATCCTTCATGGTTAATTAACACATAAAAACTCCACATGAATAGGGTAGAGGGGACCAGTGGGTCCATTTATCAAAAAATACAAAAAGGAAAAGAAATAAGCATTTACTCAGATTAATTAAAGGGGATTAATAGTACTGTTAAATCTCAACAAAAAGAAATTTTAATTAAATTGTCAACCCTAAGTGTTTGGAAGCATATATCCCACATTAAGTACAGCAACAACTTTAATTTTCATAATCAGTCCATAAAGACATTTATGTGGTCATTTCTTTGGTAAAAGAGAGATGCCTTTTTTTAATGAGGTTTCTTAATGGTGCCATCATAGAAAAAGAACAGTATAAGTTTGTAAATTGACAAATTATGCATGCATGCTTTAGTCTGTCGGCATATAATGTCCTTTTTAAGAGAAATTAATCCTTCCTTTCTAGATAGATGTTTTAGGTGTGACGAGAAAAACCACTCTTCATCTTTCACTTGGAGTATGGATGATAAACCTCAGGTACAGTGATTGGACTCACAACCACCTTACCAGGCAACCCCTCATATTAAAACCATAGTTTTTTTCATTTTTCTTAATTTCCCTCTCTCTCTCTTTTTGTGTTTTCTCTCATATTAAGGTAGGAAAAGGGGGGAGGCCATGTGCATAGTGA